TTTAGGTTTTGCCTAAGCGTTAGCTTATCTGCTTCTTGTGCTAACAGGGCCATTGCTGCCAGGGCCCTTAGACATGGGGGCCAGCTTTTGGAAACCCCGTCTAGTTGTTTTGAGAGATAGGTCACTGGCCTTGGCCAGGGCCCTACAGTCTGGGTTAAAACTCCAACTGCCATATTTTTTTTGACACATAGAGTGTAAAAAGTTTTGTCAGGTCAGGTAGCCCCAGGGCTGGGGCCGACCTGAGTTTTTCTTTTAACTCATGTAAAGCTTGTTGCTGTTGGTTGTAATAAATGTTGTTTATCTAATTTATGTTTTTATTGACTGTCATCTACCAAAATATTGACTTACATCCTGTAACTATTTGATTTCGAGCTTTAATTTGATCTGGTATTCCTTGTGGGGCTCCAATTGCATCTAAATAGATGTGAGAGTTGAAAGACCTATAAGGGGTTCTCTCGCTTTATGATGTCTTATTTTTCTTCTTCCTCTGGTTGATGAAATGCCAGGGTGAAAGGGATCGCCAAATGGACTAAAGCACAAGTGCCACTCTAGTTATTTGGCAGAGTGCCCAGTAAAGGTCCACCACAATACCACCACACATCTACTTGGGGATGAACAGGGGCTGACTGATTGATAAGCTCTTGAAAATTCTTAAGCTCACTGCATCCCGTTGGGTCTCCAAGGAATGCTGTTTCCTCTCTGTCATAAGAGACACGAAGTGAACTTAGTGTTGGGAGACGGAAGCTGGATGGCCCTTAGGAGCTGACCCACAGGGTGCTGGACTTTGGGATAGAGCAGAGAGAGCTTGGCACGACTTATTACTCCAGGCTGTAGAATCCTGAAAAAGAGCTACCATGGAGCCCATGTTGGGTCAACTGGAGGACCACCTTAGTGGAAAGGGGACAATCTGGGCCTCTGGCCTGCCATGTGCACAAGCATAACAACTGGTACTGGTATTTTGATTTTTTGAAGGGCTTTTTGTGTCTCTATCTCCTTCAGTTCTGCTTTGATCTTAGTTATTTCTTGCCTTCTGCTAGCTTTTGAATATGTTTGCTCTTGCTTCTCTAGTTCTTTTAATTGTGATGTTAGGGTGTCAATTTTAGATCTTTCCTGCTTTCTCTGTGGGCATTTAGTGCTATACATTTCCCTCTACACACTGCTTTAAATGTGTCCCAGAGATTCTGGTATGTTGTATCTTTGTTCTCATTGGTTTCAAAAAACATCTTTATTTCTGTCTTCATTTCATTATTTACCCAGTAGTCATTCAGGAGCAGGTTGTTCAGTTTCCATGTAGTTGAGCGGTTTTGATTGAGTTTCTTAGTCCTGAGTTCTAGTTTGATTGCACTGTGGTCTGAGAGTCTGTTATAATTTCTGCTCTTTTACATTTGCTGAGGAGTGCTTTACTTCCAACTATGTGGCCAATTTTGGAATAAGTGTGATGTGGTGCTGAGAAGAATGTATATTCTGTTGATTAGGAGTGGAGATTTCTGTAGATGTCTATTAGGTCCACTTGGAGCAGAGTTGAGTTCAATTCCTGGATATCCTTGTTAACTTTCTGTCTCATTGATCTGTCTAATGTTGACAGTGGGGTGTTAAAGTCTCCCATTATTATTGTGTGGGAGTCTAAGTCTCTTTGTAAGTCTCTCAGGACTTGCTTTATGAATCTGGGTGCTCCTGTAATGGGTGCATATATAGTTAGGATAGTTAGCTCTTCTTGTTGAATTGATCCCTTTACCATTATGTAATGGCCTTCTTTGTCTCTTTTGGTTTTGTTGGTTTAAAGTCTGTTTTATCAGAGACTAGGATTGCAACCCCTGCCCTTTTTTGTTTTCCATTTGCTTGGTAGATCTTCCTCCATCCCTTTATTTTGAGCCTATGTGTGTCTCTGCATGTGAGATATGTCTCCTGAATACAGCACACTGATGGGTCTTGACTCTTACCCAATTTGCCAGTCTGTGTCTTTTAATTGGACCATTTAGTCCATTTACATTTAAGGTTGATATTGTTATGTGTGAACTTGATCCTGTCATTATGATGTTAGCTGGTTATTTTGTTCGTTAGTTGATGCAGTTTCTTCCTAGCATCAATGGTCTTTACGTTTTGGCATGTTTTTGCAATGGCTGGTACCGGTTGTTCCTTTGCATGTTTAGTGCTTCCTTCAGGAGCTCTTGTAGGGCAGGCCTGGTGGTGACAAAATCTCTAAGCATTTGCTTGTCTGTAAAGGATTTTATGTCTCCTTCACTTATGAAACTTAGTTTGGCAGGATATGAAATTCTGGGTTGAAAATTCTTTTCTTTAAGAATGTCGAATATTGGCCCCCACTCTCTTCTGGCTTATAGAGTTTCTGCCAAGAGATCTGTTGTTAGTCTGATGGGTTTCCCTTTGTGGGTAACCCGACCTTTCTCTCTGGCTGTTCTTAACATTTTTTCCTTCATTTCAACTTTGGTGAATCTGACAATTATGTGTCTTGGGGTTGCTCCTCTTGAGGAGTATCTTTGTGGCATTCTCTGTATTTCCTGAATTTGAATGTTGGCCTGCCTTGCTAGGTTAGAGAATTTCACCTGGATAATATCCTGCAGAGTGTTTTCCAACTGGGTTGCATTCTCCCCGTCACTTTCAGGTACACCAATCAGACGTAGATTTGGCCTTTTCACATAATCCCAATTTCTTGGAGGCTTTGCTCATTCTTTTTACTCTTTTTTCTCTAAACTTCTCACTTCATTTCATTCATTTGATCTTCAATCACCGATACTCTTTCTTCCAGTTGATCAGGTCGGTTACTGAAGCTTATGCATTTGTCACATAGTTCTCGTGTTATGGTTTTCATGTCTATCAGGTCATTTATGGACTTCTCTGCATTGGTTATTCTAGTTATCCATTCGTCAAATCTTTTTTCAAGGTTTTTAGTTTCTTTGCTCTGGGTTTGTAGTTCCTCCTTTAGCTCTGAGAGGTTTGATCGACTGAAGCCTTCTTCTCTCAACTCATCAGTCATTCTCTGTCCAGCTTTGTTCCATTGCTGGCGAGGAGCTGCGTTCCTTTGGAAGGAAGGGGAGAGGTGCTCTGATTTTTTGAATTTTCAGCTTTTCTGCACTGCTGTTTCCCCATCTTTGTGGTTTTGTCTACCTTTGGTCTTTGATGATGGTGACATACAGATGGGGTTTTGGTGTGGATGTCCTTTCTGTTTGTTAGTTTTCCTTCTAACAGTCAGGACCCTCAGCTGCAGTCCTGTTGGAGTTTGCTTGAGGTCCACTCCAGTTAGGCTACTCCCAGTTAGGCTTTCCCACTTAGACTACTTGGGGGTCAGGGACCCACTTGAGCAGGCAGTCTGTCGGTTCTCAGATCTCAACCTCCATGCTCGGAGAATCACTACTCTCTTCAAAGCTGTCAGACAGGGCCATTTACATCTGCAGAGGTTTCTGCTGCTTTTTGTTTACTATACCCTGTCCCTGGAGGTGGAATCTACAGAGGCAGGCAGGCTTCCTTGAGCTGTGGTGGGCTCCACCCAGTTCGAGCTTCCTGGCCGCTTTGTTTACCTACTTAAGTCTCAGCAATGGTGGGCGCCCCTCCCCCAGCCTGGCTGCCGCCTTGTGGTTAGATCTCAGACTGCTGTGCCAGCAATGAGGGAGGCTCCATGGGCGTGGGACCCTCCGAGCCAGGCGTGGGATATAATCTCCTGGTGTGCCGTTTGCTAAGACCCTTGGAAAAGCACAGTATTAGGGTGGGAGTGACCCAATTTTCCAGGTGTTGTGTGTCACGGTTTCCCTCGGCTACAAAAAGGAATTCCCTTCCCCCTTGCACTTCCCAGGTGAGGCAATGCCTTCCCCTGCTTCGGCTCTCGCTCATTGGGCTGCACCCACTGTCCTGTACCGACTGTCAGACATGCCCTGGTGAGATGAACCCGGTACCTCAGTTGGAAATGCAGAAATCACGTGTCTTCTGTGTCACTCACGCTGGGAGCTGGAGGCTGGAGCTGTTCCTATTCGGCCATCTTGGCACCCCCTATTTTGTTTCTACTTCATTATTTTTATTTGAAGATTATTTTTACTTTTTTACTCAAGCAGAAGGTTCTATAAGCACACGATGCTTTATCTAAAATTACTGTCATGTTGAAAAATGACTGTCAAAGGTAGAATAATCCAGTATGAGAAAGAGTCTGTGCTCCTGAAGAGAAAATGGAATATTATATCATGCTAAATACTATTAAATGATGTGTTCAACACCCAAAGTTGTTAGACCAGCAAGCTCTCCCCAGATAACACTGTTTATAAGCCTCATTCCAGCTATCTAGACAAGAAAAAGTTAGTGCCAAATTTTAGTCACACTTATGAGAGTAAGATCAGACTTTTAATTTATCCTTCTATCAATCTACTCTTGCTGGAGGTTGACAGAAGTAGAAGTGATTATTAACATAAACTGTAATCACTATGAGCCATTAGAAACAAAGAATCACCCAGAGCTGAATGTTAATAGCAGACTCAGAGAGCTTCCTTGGTCTATTAGTAAAATTAAGGAGAGATGTTCCCTAAATGCCTTGTTGTAACGACATGACAAACTAGTCTTTGATGGGTTGGCATTTCTACAGCTCCATTACCTTCCTCTTTACTTCTGGAAAGTTATAAAACATTTTGTGCAAGAAATGGTTTCTTAAAATTGGGAGACTAAGAAAAGTGGATGGATCTGCCTACATTTCCTATCTCCTTCCTTAAATGACTCCTTTTTCCTCAAAAGCCATTGAAACTGAAATGGCAGATCCATTACGAGTAAGGCTTACGGCTGTCAATCTTTTGCAAATTACTTAATCAGAAGATTCCAGAGTGCTTCCCCAGTAGAACATTTTCTCCCTGTCCACTCTAGTTTGACTGACGCTCTATCTGTTATAGACACAGCTAAAGTTACAGAAACAGATGAAATTTACAATGTAATACAAGCCATGTCAACATGTGAAAGAAATAAAGTGTCATGTAAAAAATAATGGAAGGAAAAAAATCATTGTGCCCCACTTAGTTTAGAAAGGGTATTCGGTCACATTTATTATGCTACAAAGCTGTTCCACAATTCCATGTTTAAAGTAACAGAAACCTCAGCTCCTAACCTAGGAAACTTAAAACTAGAGGAAATAAAAACAAATTCATGATGTTGAACCCACAAAGCTGCAAAGCAATCTTGGTTACTTTTCACACTCTTGACTGTCAAGACATCAGAGGTACAATCTCCAGTGCCCCTCTCCTTATACCTGTCATGTTGCCACAAGAAAACATTGAGACAATGATTAAAACTATAAACATACATCTGTAACATTGCTTTTTAAACTATTCAAGCACTTCAAAGCCTGAAGCTGATTACTTCTTTTTATATGGAGAAATGTATACATACTAAATAGTGAAAAACTTAGGACCCTATCTAGTGCCACAAATGGAAGAAGCAATACCCTCCTTTGGCTATAATGAGTTATTTGGTGAAACACTGAATGTAAAGAGGGATACTACATTTGAAATTATCTTTGTAGACAAAGAATTCTGACTCTGGAAGACCATTCTAGAAGTCATGTTCTGACTAAATAGCATGACTTTGGTTTAAAGAAACCTAAAGGTATCAATAAAGAACAAATTTTAAATAGAATTTAATCTGTACCTAATCTAATTTCACTCGTGTACAACAGTCAACTCTGAGACAGTACTGGAGATAAAAGTTTACTATGATCACTTTCACAGCTTTTGCCTCTGTTCTTTAACTTGGCCTTCTTAATACTTGCAGTCTACTATTACAAGACTACTTTCCTGGTTTTGATTACCTTCTGATAAGGATTATATCACTTTTACGAAGTCATTCTTACAGACTCTCAATCTCCTTCCCACTCTCTCATCTTAAAACGGGCATTCTTTTGATTTAAAAAATGCTCTCACTCAAAGAGGAGTTGACTGAAAGGCAAAAATAATACACACACATGCATTTATGATATGATATGGAACATATGAAATGGATTGTGAAAGTGGGGGAAGAATAAACTTTATTGGCCCACAGAAGGGATGAGGGAATGAGAAGGGGCTAGGGATAAGAATGAATAAAAGTGGAAAAACTAAAACAGAATGATTTAAAATGTGCAAATATATTTTGCAACCTCTACCATTCAATTTAGGAATATGCATGTACAGTGAGATCCATGTAGACTAAAGTGAGTTTAACTTTGTAGTTGATGCTACTTGTACAAGTTCCATCATTAGTAAGTCACCATTTAATTCTGTCAAAGTCAGACAAGGATCTTTCTGGTTAGTGCAAACAAGGTTTTCCATCCTGGGCTGCAGTCTGACCTGCCAGTGCTCAGTAGGCATGCTTGTGATGAATTCGCACAGTTTCCAGTTCCCCACCTCCAATGGCGGCCAGGGTCTCCAGCCTGTTTAAGCGGTCCAAGCTTCTTCCAAGAACTTCTTCTAGCCGACTGCGTAACACCTGAGCCCCTTCCAGTTCCACCTGCAGAGTTCGGTCTCTCTCAGAGCTGATTAAACATGCCACACGGAAGGAAAATGGATTAGCCATCAACTGTAGTGAGTCCATATTTGCTTTCAAAGAACCATCAATGCCACTTTGAGCCACACGACTTTGTAAAGTAATTGTTCTCCAGGACACAATAAATGAATGTAGTCTGTGTGGCATTTGTGTTCACTGCTGATAGATGAGTAAGGACTGATCCTTTTTTTAAAAGCTTCCCCCTTACACTAGATTCTGGGCCAATTTCACCTAAAATTATAGCTTCTAAGACTTATCTCACACACCTATACCCCAAACAAGAGATATTTCGTTATTTGACTAAAAGCTCTTGTTTCTGAAAAACTAAAACCCAGGACAAACTAAATATAAACTGGAACAAGACTGAGTGAAGTAGAACCACTACTGAAGAGACTTGTTTTCTCATTTGTTACCAAACTTGAGGTGGGATGGTGTGCTGAAAAGGAATCTGGTTCATAAACACTAAAGCTCCAGAGGTTCTTTAAAAAGTAACACAATCAACTGGTCCTATCAGACCTTTCCTCTGCCTTCATTTTCTGGTGGAAAGAAAACATTTTTAAAGCCCAACAATAAATTACAAGAAACTGAATAGCAAAAATAATAATAATAAAATTGAAAAAGAGTAAAAAGGGCTAGTAGGGAAGGCAAAATGAGAAAAAAAAAATGAAGAGAATATAAAATGATCCAGAGAGGTATCATATATGCAACCAAAAATCAAGAGGTAGAAGAAAATATATTCATCATGATAGTTATCGGTGGTCCCAGGATGATTTAGCCATCCCAATTAATATATTTTCTTCGATGATATTAAAATGAATATCAGTGTCCATTATAGCCTTACTTTTTTTTTTTTTTTTTTTTGAGATGGAGTCTCACTCTGTTGCCCAGGATGGAGTGCAGCAGTGCGATCTTGGCTCACTGCAACCTCTGCCTCCCGGGTTCAAGTGATTCTTCTGCCTCAGCCTCCCGAGTAGCTGGGACTATAGGTGTACAATACCTCATCCAGCTAATTTTTGTATTTGTAGTAGAGACAGGGTATATATAGCCTTATGTTTATAATAGAACAGCTTTTAATAGGACATGGATCACAGAAGAGAAATGAACATACATTGAGTGGCTACTCTATGCAAGGCATTGTTTCAGACACCAAAGCTGTCTTCTTATTTAATCTCTGCAATAGTTGTGTGAAACAGGCACTATTCCCAACTTGAGATTTTGACACTGAGGCTCAGAGCAATCCATAAAACAAATGACAAAGTGGGTAGCCCCAGTAATTGTCCCTGTTTTTTCTCCCCTCTTCAGTATCATAAGCATCTGCACTTAATGAAGAATAAAAGGCATAAAAAGAACACGATAGTAAAAGAAATAAAAATTTCAATAAAGAATAAAAGGAAAAACAGCCACTCTCTTACCTCTCTGGATGGGCATGGAACTTCACCAGACTGCTATACAGCTGTCTCTCTGCTTGTAAGGCCTCATTGAGCCGACTCCGTTCATCCACTAGTCCTTCTAGCATCAGCAGCAACTGGGGAAAGAAGAGAGAAGAAGCAACACACAAATGGCACAGTGAGACATGAAGCCACAGTTAACCCTGAGAAACAAGAAAATGCATTAGCATGTACTAGGACTTAAAAAGCCCACTATCTTAGTACTTAAGCTTTTGATACTATTTTATAGTTTTCAAATCAATGTCATATTATCTTTTTTTATCTTTAAAAGCCTGTAAGGTGGAATTCAAACTAGGCTGTAATGTCTTTCCTGTAGATCCCACATATCCATACAGTCTTTATGGTAAGGACAAGTTATTTTAAAGAAACCATTTAAAGGAATTTAGCAATAGTTAAATATCACCCACTCAAAATACCCATTCACAGGCATTTCAATTTCATGATTCTGAAAACAGGACAGAACCAAAAAGTAACATTACTCTGGATTTGATAAATGTGAGAAAAACAGGAAGAGGATGTGGAAACTAAAATATCTGATATGAATAATCAGATAATGGCTAAGGTAAAACCACAAAAAGGGAGACTAGGGGATTTTTAAAACTGGTGTTTCTTAAACGCCACACATTCTCATATCCTGAAAACTAATTGAGTCATAAAACATGAGTCTGTTTGTAAGCAGAAATATGGTAATGAGGCCGGGCGCGGTGGCTCAAGCCTGTAATCCCAGCACTTTGGGAGGCCGAGACGGGCGGATCCCGAGGTCAGGAGTTCGAGACCATCCTGGCTAACACGGTGAAACCCCGTCTCTACTAAAAAATACAAAAAACTAGCCGGGCGAGGTGGTGGGCGCCTGTAGCCCCGGCTACTCGGGAGGCTGAGGCAGGAGAATGGCGTAAAAACCCGGGAGGCGGAGCTTGCAGTGAGCTGAGATCCGGCCACTGCACTCCACCCTGGGTGACATAGCGAGACTCCGTCTCAAAAAAAAAAAAAAAAAAAAAGAAATATGGTAATGAAATCAAAAGATAAAATATGATAATTCCATCACAAATACAAACACAGGTTTTATATTAGAGATCTAGCTATGGCAAAAGGTAGAAAAAAACTAAGGAGCTATTTGGACTACCTAGCTCAACTGAATTCAGGAAGCCATGACACTGACTCATCTTCTAAAAGAGATGCCAACACAGTAACAAACAAGCTTTCAGTTTCAGTCTGTAACTCTGTGCTAGCATTTCTTCAACATCATAGTTGAGTATGCAGCTAGTGTGGAGGAAACGCAGGGGGAAGGGAATCGCTAAGGCTGAAAGGCCTCTTCTAAAAAATTTGATGAGAACTCTATGCTAGAGAGAGTTAAAGCGTAAGGTGGGAAAAAGGTGGGAAATGAATCTTCTTAGGAAGTATGTGAAGTCACAAAAGGCTTGAGTTTAAATCATAGCTCTGGCATTTATTAGTTACATGACTATTCTCCACTCCCATTTTAAAGGAGAAATCAGTGTTTCAGCTTCTTCATCTATAATAATTGGGCTGACACTACTTACTTTGTGTAGAGTTGTGAGCATTAGTGCTAATTTAAATACCTAGCACAGTACATAGCTCATGAATACTTGATAAACTTTGATTATACTCAAATTTCTCATTTCATGTTTCTAAAACTAATTTCATGGGTCTAATATCATAACTCTAAGCAGCAATCACATAACACTCCCTTTTTTCACTAATGCTTTATAATAATTATTTTTTTATTATATAATAAAAATATTAAAATTTTAATTTTTAAATAAAAATAATAAATATTATTATTATTATCTTGGAGGCAGAGTTTTGCTCTTGTTGCCCAGGCTGGTGCGTGATGACATGATCTCAGCTCACTGCAACCTCCGCCTCCCAGGTTCAAGCGATTCTCCTGCCTCAGGCTCCTGAGTAGCTGGGATTACAGGCGCCCGCCACTACACCTGGCTAATTTTCATATTTTTAGGAGAGACGGGGTTTCGTCATATTGGCCAGGCTGGTCTCAAATTCCTGACCTCAAGTGATCTGCCCACCTCGGCCTCCCAAAGTGCTGGGATTACAGGCATGAGCCACCGCACCCGGCCTTTACAATTATTTTATTCCATTTAGCAATGGGGAGAGAGGGTTACGGTTTTCTAGCACTTAATAAGTTTTAATGGTCCCAATCTAAAAACAGGAGCATCTTTTTGAGATAATGTATATATAAAATAACTTATATTTTTCTCCAAAAAGAAAAAAGTCATACCTGGCATTTGGACTCAGATATTATACTTGGAAAATTATATACTTTTAAATATAAACTATTTTGAAAGAAAAAATAATAGGGATTTAGAAATTAAGACTTGACTAGAAAATTCACTTGACTTTTTCTTTCTTTTTTAGCCATGAGTTCAAATTCCGCTTTGGCATTACTCAGTTCTTTTTCGAGCCGTGCAATTGTGTTCAAGTCTCCTAAGATGAAAATACAGCACTAGTTTTAATTGCTATTAACATAACGTGATATCTGCTGCCTCCTCTAAGTAATTTACAGAGGACACATTCCAATAATAAGAAAAAAGAAAACATACACACAGGTTGTTCATTGTAGCATTATTTATAATAGCAAAATATTGCAATCATCCTAGAGGCTATAAAGAAAAGATTGAATAAAACATATTCACAGATGGCACTATATACTACTGTAAATAAAGAATAAGGATGATCTTTATGAACTTATATGAAGTGACTTTGAGATTCTAAGAATACGTTAAGTAAAACAAGCTATGTGCTTAAGAATACATCTAAGGTAGTAGGTTTTCTATTAGGAAAAAGGGGAAATGAGAATGTACATATATACATCACATATACACAGATGATTCATTTGCTTATTTTTGCAAAAAGATATATAGGAAGAATAACCCAGAAATGAAACTGATTACCTTCAGGAGACGAGTGGAAACAGGAGAGAAGGGATAGGGAAATATGGGACATCTGAGTATATCATTTTATATACTGGAGTTTTGAACTGTGTAAATGTTTAATTTTTTTTTTTTTTTTTTTTTTTTTGAGACAGAGTCTCGCTTAGTCGCCCAGGCTGGAGTGCAATGGCGCGATCTCGGCTCACTGCAACCTCCGCCTCCCGGGTTCACGCCATTCTCCTGCCTCAGCCTCCCGAGTAGCTGGGACTACAGGCGCCCGCCGCCTCGCCCGGCTAATTTTTTGCATTTTTAGTAGAAGCGGGGTTTCACCGTGTTAGCCAGGATGGTCTCGATCTCCTGACCTCGTGATCCGCCCGCCTCGGCCTCCCAAAGTGCTGGGATTACAGGCGTGAGCCACCGCGCCCGGCCAATGTTTAATTTTTAATGTATAAGTCAGCTTGACAATTAATGGGAGAGAAAATGTCTAAAACTGAGTATTAATATAAATATATATAGCAAATAAATAAAACCACCCAGAAGATACTAAAAAATTAATCCAAATAATTTTTGAACTCACTACTCTAACTGAACACTGTCAGTGCAAAATATGCTAAGGATAAAAAGAATTACAAAAAAATCTTAAACATTACTTAATACATTTATTGTTGATGGTAGTATTTATGTAGCAATTCTGAAACAACTTTTGCATATTATAGTATTCTGCAAATGTGTAAATATTTTGAAACATATTGATGCTCTAAGTAACCAGGGCTCTCAAAGAGATACAAACATGAAATGAGGGAAAAAAGAACCTATATGGTTAAATTGGAATTACAGAAATCAGTATCAAATCTTCATATGTATACAAATACACACACATATACTTAAAAATATTCATTGCTAGCTCTGTTCACTTAAAAGGGCCTAGAAGCAAAAGGCATTCATGTAGCAATGAACACATCTTGTGCCCAGATCATAGTTTCTAAATGCCATTACCCACCAAAAGGAACCAGGGAGCTCTTTAGGATAACGGCTGATTCTGGGACTGAGGCAGGTAAAGCAAAAGGTAATCACAGAACATTTTACTGTGCCAGAAACTATGAAACTATGCTAAAACAAAAACAAAAACAAAAACAAAAAAACAACAAAAAAAAAACTGATGGGGATATGGCAAAGCTTGATGAGGCTCCCACTGACCAAATATGGGTTAATTTGAGCATTAAAGGAAATAATGACCAAAATCAATAATATAATGATTTTTAAAACTCTATATTGATAAAAACAAATGGGGTATAGACATACGGAAAGGACAGCTCTTCTTTATAAATAATACCCACAAATAAACAAAGAAGAGATTTCACAAACAGAAAATCATATATATATATATATATATATATATATATATATATATATATATTTATTTATTTATTTATTTTTGAGATTGAGTCTTGCTCTGTCGTCCAGGCTGGAGTGGGGGAGGGTGGGGGGGGCGGGGTGGCGGTGGGGAATCTCTCCGCTTTCCAGGTTCAAGCGATTCTCCTGCCTCAGCCTCCTGAGTAGCTGGGATTACAGGCATGCACCACCAAGCTCGACTAATTTTTGTATTTTTTAGTAGAGACAGGGTTTCACCATGTTGGCCAGGCTGGTCTCAAACTCCTGAGCTTAAGTGATCTGCCCACCTCAGTCTCCCAAAGTGCTGGGATTAAAGGCATGAGCCACCGCGCCCAACCCTGAAAATCACTATTTTTAAACTACCAATATAGTGTAAATTCAGCCAGCAGATCACTTATATACTAAGGGTGAAATAAACCTTTTACAACAGAGAGATTTGACAGCTACAACCTTAACCAAATGACTGAATTTAATATCACCAATATTTTGTATCACCAATACAAACCGATTATCACGCACTGATGTGATGCACTAAAAAAGACGTCATCCAGTCCAGGCACAGTGGCTCACGCTTGTAATCCCAGCACTTTAGGAGGCTGAGGTAGGTGGATCACTTGAGGCTAGGAGTTCCAGACCAGCCTGGCCAACATGGCAAAACCCTGTCTCTAAGAAAAAATACAAAAAAACTAGCCAGGCATGGTGGCGCATGCCTGTAGTCCCAGTTACTTGGGAGACTGAGGCGGGAAGATCGCTTGAAACTGGGAGGCAGGCAGGCAGGCCAGATGGAAGGAAGGGAGGGAGGAAGGGAGGAAGGGAGGAGGGGAGGAAGGGAGGAAAGGAGGAAAGGAGGGACGGAGGGAGGGACGGAGGGAGGGAGGGAGGGAGGGAGGGAGGGAGGGAGGAAGGAAGGAAGGAAGGAAGGAAGGAAGGAAGGAAGGAAGGAAGTCAGTCATCCGTGTGGTATTCCTGCCAAAAATGTTTAACTCAAATCTAAGCATGAGGAAACAATCACAGCTAAATTGAGGAATATTAGCTGGCCTGGATTCTTCAAAAATGCCAATCTCGGCCTCTGCCCCCGGGCGGGCCGGGCCTGCAGTGGTGAGGGGAGCCAGGCTGAGGGTGGGAGTGGGTGGCAGGCAGGTGGAGGGCAGGGAGAGGTGGTGGAGGAGGAGGAGGAGAGATGAGGGCAGCGGAGGAGGTGAGGAGCGCCAGGTACCAGGCTAGGGAAGCTGCGGGCTCTCAGGGAAGAGATGGATGATGAACAAGCTTTACATTGGGAACCTGAGCCCCATGGTCACCACCGACGACCTCTGGCAGCTCTTTGGGGACAGGATGCTGCCCCCCATGGGACAGATCCTGCTCAAGTCTGGCTATGCCTTCGTGGACTACCCCGACCAGAACTGGGCCATCCGAGCCATCGAGACCCTCTCGGGTAAAGTGGAATTGCATGGGAAAATCATGGAAGTTGATTACTCAGTCTCTAAAAAGCTAAGGAGCAGGAAAATTCAGATTCGAAACATTCCTCCTTGCCTGCAGTGGGAGGTGTTGGATGGACTTTTGGCTCAATATGGAACAGTGGAGAATGTAGAACAAGTCAACACAGACATAGAAACTGCTGTTGTCAATGTCACATATGCAACAAGAGAAGAAAATAGACATGGAGAAGCTAAGTGGGCATCAGTTTGAGAACTACTTCTTCAAGATTTCCTACATCCCAGACGAAGAGGTGAGCTCCCCTTCGTCCCCTCAGTGAGCCCAGTGTGGGGACCTCTCTTCCCGGGGAGCAAGGCCAGCCCCTGGGGGCACTTCTCAGGCTAGACAGATTGATTTCCTGTTGAGGATCCTGGTCCCCACCCAGTTTGTTGGTGCCATCATCAGGAAGGAGGGCTTGACCATAAAGGACATCACTAAGCAGACCCAGTCCCAGGTAGACATCCATAGAAAAGAGAACTCTGGAGCTGCAGAGAAGCCTGTCACCATCCATGTCACCCCAGGGGGGACTTCTGAAGCATGCCGCATGATTCCCGAAATCATGCAGAAAGAGGCAGATGAGACCAAACTAGCCGAAGAGATTCCTCTGAAAATCTTTGCCCACAATGGCTTGGTTGGAAGACTGACTGGAAAAGAAGGCAGGAATTTGAAGAAAATTGAACATGAAACAGGGATCAAGATAGCAATCTCATCTTTGTAGGATTTGAGCATATACAACCCGGAAAGAACCATCACTGTGAAGGGCACAATTGAGGCCTGTGCCAGTGCTGAGATAGAGATTATGAAGAAGCTGCGTGAGGCCTTTGAAAATGATATGTTGGCTGTTAATACCCACTCTGGATACTTCTCCAGCCTGTATCCCTATCACCAGTTTGGCCCGTTCTCGCATCATCACTGTTATCCAGAGGAGGAGATTGTGAATCGCTTCATCCCAACCCAGGCTGTGGGCGCCATCATCGGGAAGAAGGGGGCACATATCAAACAGCTGGCGAGATTCGCCCCTGCAGAAGGCCCAGACGTCAGCAAAAGGATGGTCATCATCACCCAGCCACAGGAAGCCCAGCTCTAAGCCCAGGGACGGATCTTTGGGAAACTGAAAGAAGAAAACTACTTTAACCCCAAAGAAGTGAAGCTGGAAGCCCATATCAGAGTGCCCTCTTCCACAGCTGGCTGGGTGATTGGCAAAGGTGGCAAGACCATGAATGAACCGCAGAACTTAACCAGTGCAGAAGTCATTGTGCCTCCTAAGGAAAAGCCAGATGAAAATGCGGAAGTGATCGTCGGAATTACCGGATACTTCTTTGCTAGCCAGACTGCACAGCGCAAGATCAGAGAAACTGTACAACAGGTGAAGCAGCAGGAGCAGAAATACCCTCAGGGAGTCGCCTCACAGCGCAGCAAGTGAGGCTCCCACAGGCACCAGCAAAACAACAGATGACGGAGCCCTTCCAACACCTGACAGAATGAGACCAAACACAGCCAGCCAGATCGGGAGCAAACCAAAGACCATCTGAGGAATGAGAAGTCTGCGGAGGCGGCCAGGGACTCTGCAGAGGCCCCGAGAATCCCAGGGGCCGGGGAGGGGTGGGGAAGGTCAGCCAGGTTTGCCAGAACCACGGGGCCCTCCTCTCCTCCCCCAGGGCTTCTGCAGGCTTCAGCCATCCACTTCACCATCCATTCGGATCTCTTCTTAACTCCCACGACGCTATCCCTTTTAGTTGAACTAACATAGGTGAACGTGTTCAAAGCCAAGCAACGTGCATACCCTTTTCTGGTGGCAAATCGTCTCTGTACATGTGTGTATATACTAGAAGGGGAAGATATTAAGATATGTGGTCTGTGGGTTACACAGGGTGCCTGCAGCTGTAATATATTTTAGAAATAATATATCAAATAACTAACTCCAATATTTAATCAATCAATTTTTTTTTTCTTTCTAAGGAGAAAGCAGGCTTTTCTAGACTTTAAAGAATAAAGTCTTTCTTTGGGAGGTCTCACAGTGTGGAGAGGAGCTTTGAGGCCACCCACACAAAATTCACCCAGAGGGAAATCTTGTCGGAAGGACACTCACAGCAGTTCTGGATCACCTGTGTATGTCAACAGAAGGGATACCGTCTCCTTGAAGAGGAAACTCTGTCATTTCTCATGCCTGTCTAGCTCATACACCCATTTCTCTGCTTCACAGGTTTTAAACTGGATTTTTGCATACTGCTATGTAATTCTCTGTCTCTCTCTGTTTATCTCTCCCCTCCCTCCCCTCCCCTTCTTCTCCATCACCATTCTTTTGAATTCCCTCATCCCTCCATCTCAACCCTGAATCTATGCACCCCACCCCCTCCCAGGCAAAGCAGTGCTCTGAATATCACATCACATGAAAGGAACAAAAGCGAAACACACAAACCAGCCTCAACTTACACTCGGTTACTCAAAAGAACAAGAGTCAATGGTACTTTTTCTAGCATTTTGGAAGAGGAAAACAGGAACCCGTCAAACCAACCAATCAACCACACAAAGAAAAAATTCCACAGTGAAAGAATGTATTTTGTCTTTTTGCATTTTGGTGTATAAGCCATCAATATTCAGCAAAATGATTTCTTTCTTTAAAAAAAAATGTGGAGGAAAGTAGAAATTTACCAAGGTTGTTGGCCCAGGGCATTAAATTTACAGATTTTTTAAATGAGAAAAACACACAGAAAAAGTTACCTCAGGTGTTTTTTACCTCAGCACCTTGCTCTTGTGTTTCCCTTAGAGATTTTCTAAAACTGATAGTGGGAGCATTTAAAAAATTTAATAAAAATGAGTTGGAAAAGAAATAAGATATCAACTGCCAGCCTGGAGAAGGTGAGGGTCCAAGTATGCAACAGCTGTTCTGAATTGTCTTCTGCTAGCCAAGAACCTATATGGCCTTCTTTTGGACAAACCTTGAAAATGTTTATTTAAAAAAAAAAAATGACAAAAACAGAGAGAGAGAATATTGGAGATGTCCTGAATTTTAATAGGGTACGCGCCATTAGGGCTTTCTGTGCTAAAGGATGAACAGGTACTGGTTTCTGTGAACAAGCCATTATACCACCAGACTGCAATGTCAGTTTCCTCTACTGCAAACAGTATTCTGTAACCAAAAAAAAAAAAAAAAAAAAGAAAAGAAATATATCCAGCTAACAAGAAAAAAAAAATGCCAATCTCACTAAAGAAAAAAAAAAGCTAGACAGTCGTTCTAGATTAGAGACTAAGAGACATGACAACTAAGCACCTGGGTTGGGGGAAACCAAAGTAGCTATACAGAACATTATTGGGACAACAGGAACTCTGAATGTGGACTGTATATTAGATACTAAGCCTATACCAAGGTTAATTCTCCTGAGTGTGATAATTATATTGTAGCTATGTAGGAGAACGCGCTTGTTCTTAGGCAATACTTACTGTAGTATTCAGGAATAAAGTGTCATGATTTCTGTGAGAAATTCTCCAATGGTTCAGAAAATACATTACAACCACAAATGTGTGTGTAATAGAAAGAAAAAAGGCAAATGTGGCAGAATGTTAATAACTGGTAAATCTGAATAAAAACATCTATGAGTATGCACTGTACTATTTTTGCCACTTTTCTGTAGGTTTGAAATTTCAAAAATAAAAAACTTTGGGGAAAAGTACATTTTTTAAAAAAGGCAAATAAAGAATAAATAAAACAAATCCAACATTGTTTTACTCTTTGATTAGTATAAAGTTTTCCTACTAGAGGATGACTACTTATAAGACTTTTCTAAACCATCCCCTGAATGGGGCTAGGCTTGGCAAATAACTCAATGTACACTGCCTATCCTTCCTAATGGTTTAATGTAGGTGATGTCAACTTATACTGAGTGGCCCCAGACTTGAAAGATACCCAGGAAAAGGTGTCAGCTCATGGCCCTACTCTGCAGGATTGGAACCACTACCTCCTGCATTTCTGAATCCCTGCAAAACTATCTGAAAAGGAGAATACGGTCAAATTGTGAACCCAGAGCAATAATCTCGACTCAACATAAGGTAAGGACAGTTCTTCAGCCTTTCAGAGGAATTCCAAACTTATTTGTTCCATTAAGATAGGAAAAGAAAAGAGTCTTGTCCAAACCTATTAATACAGAGATTACTAGAAGGAAAAACAAGAGAAAAACAAAGTCCCTTAATGAAATGAAATTTGATACTTACCTAATGTGGATCTGGGTATGCTGGCATCCTCTTTGGCAGTCAGTGAAGTGCTATCATCTCTGGAAGGTATCTGCATTGAACCCTAAAAAACTGGAAAAGTCGGGGGACTTAGGAAGATGCAGGAACTATGATCACAATGACAGGACTGAGAATATTCTGAGATTTTGGTATTAAAATGATCAAACTTATACCTCAAATGTAAAAAGGAAATGTAATCAGCATGAATTATCTAAGTCTATAGTTCTTATTTGATTAGTCTTTTCTCCAAGAGCAGGGGCCAATGTAGGTAACTTCAGCTTGTTGGTTAGAGATGGGTACTTGGGACATCAGGGAGTCTCTCCCTCCTAAATATTGGCGCAGGGCCTGTAATTCTGAATTTCTTTCCATTAAGGCTTGCACTGTCTTCTCTCTTCTCAAAAAAAAAAAAAAAAAAAAAAAAAGGAATTTACTTCTTAAATATTGAGAAATTAATATACCCCATACTATTATGAGATTATTCTCACCATGGCCTCTGAAAAATGCAATCTTTTTTTCCTCTTAAGATGACTCAGATTTTAAATGATCAGATTATTAAGGAAAATAAAATGTATATAATGAAGTTAATGGATACATGTATTGTTTAGGCACCCTTCCAAATGCAAGGTTTTCAAGAAATTTTTCATACTTTGATGATTAATGTAAAACTGTGGTCTAAAGCCAGGCACAGCAGCTTACACCTAATAATCCCAGCACTTTGGGAAGCCAAGGCAGGATGATTGCTTGAGCCCAGGAGTTCGAGACCAGCCTGCACAACACAGCGAGACCCCCACCTCTAAATAAGTAAGTAAATAAATAAAACTGTGGTCTAGGTAATAAATAGAAGGAAAGAAACTAACAGAGTTGACTGTAAAATATATAAATATACACACATCTATAGTCTGCAAATACTTCCTATTTGCAGACTATAAATGCACTACATGATACTTTACTGATCTGTGCATTAATCCTTACTTGGCTTTCCTGCTCCCTGGTGCTCATAGACTGAAGCAGGCCTTGAATCTCCATTTCATGTTCCACCACTAGTTTGTTTCGATCACTTAGAAGGTCCTGCAGCATCCTTTCCTTTCGCTGTAGACGCTGGCACAGCTCCTCTGCTATCTCACTCTGCCCTGGTCCAAGTTTGCACAGCAATGTTGCACTAAGATCCTAATGCAGAAAGGACACTGTAAGTTTCCAGAGGAAAGAACTGCCTCTACTAAATATTAAAGGGCTTATAAGAATCTATCATAGAAGAAGAAGGTGCGAGATTCTTGAGAATAAGTATCACGTTTTACTCATTTTTGTTTTACCAGATCTAGCACAGGCCTGCAACACAGAAGTCTCTAAATACATGTCCCAGGAATGAATACAAACAATACAGAAAACTATCTCTGGTGGCCACTTACATACATATTGTTTTCTGAAATAAGCCTTTTTCTATTTGTTCAGGGCATGTAACAATTAATGTTAGATGAGGATAAATGGACACTCCTTTCATTTATTTGTTTTCCCCCAGTGTAACTTTATAGGAGGAAGCATAAAACAAACTGCTGAAAGGAATACTAAACACTGTATTTGCTATCATAGTGATGGTTTCTATTTCTGTACTAACCACCGGCACATGGTGGAGGAAACAGAGGAGCCATACTGCCTAGGTTGATACTGGATCTGCTACTTATTAGCTATGTTAGCTTGGACAAGTTACTTAGCTTCAGAAGTCTGTTTCCTCCTCTACAAAACAGGGATAACAGAATGTGCCTCATGGCCTTGTGAGGATTCAATGAGTTAATATCTATTGAGATCTGAAAACAGCACCTGCCCCAGCATGAACACTGTAACTAATAAAGGTTAATAGCTGCCAGACGGAAGAGGCAATGCTTAGGTCTCATTCATTCTCACATAACTTCTTTGAGAAAGTTAATTGCCAACTTAAGTTTCTAGATGTGGGGGAAAAAAAAAATTCCCAGTGAAAGTCAATGACTTGCCCAGGCACAGAACTGCTTGTACCTGGAGAATCGCTTGTGTACCTGGGAGGTGGAGGTTGCAGTGAGCTGAGATCACACCATTGCACTCCAGCCTGGGCAACGAGAGTGAAACTCCATCCCAAAAAATAAAATAAAAGAATATCAAGCAACCAAAGAAGCAGGGAAACAAGACACATAATGAAGAATCTAATCATCTAGTTGAAATTGACACACATGTTGGAAATAGCAGAAAAGGACATTAGAGCAGTTATAATTGTATTTTAATTAAATAGAGAGGTTGAAGATTTTTTAAATATCAAATTCTGTAGATAAAAAACTATGATTTACAGTCTGAAATGGAAGAAGGCACTGCATTAAACATTGCAGAAGAGAAGAGTATTGAACTAGAAGGAAAAGAAGTTCAAACATAAATGAAACACACAGTAACAAATGACTTGAAAACATAAAAGGACCATCAGCATAAAAACTTTAAACACCCTAGTATAGGGCTAAATGGAATCCCCGAAGGGCGTGTAGTGGAGAATAGAGACAAAAATATTTAAAACATACTGGATGAAAGATTAAAGGAGTTTCATGGAAACCATAAACTTCAAATATTACAGAAATATGATTATCCCAAGAAGAAACATGAAGAAAACTTCACCAAGGAACATCTTAATCAAATCCACCAAAACCAGTGATAAAAAGGAAATCCTAAAAGGAATAAAAGGGGAAAGAACATGTTACATACGGAGGACTGAAGATAAGGATGGCATAAGATTTCTCATAAGAATATTCTGGCCAAGATTCTCTTTTCAAAACAATTCTGAGTCCAGTCAACAGACAGTTATACTACATCATCAAGGTTCACATTTGTGTTCCATAATTGGGTGAAACATTAGCATGAAAAAACAGGTATAACTGAAGACATGTCTCAGACTGAACAAACCCAATCCTCTATATGGCACACAAAGAAGAACCAGATTTTAGCAATGCTACGTCTTATCTTCTTTAACTAACTAAGAAATTTAAGACATATACACCACAGTATGACTGATGTTTCTTACTATATGGGTTATTAACTATAAGTTAAAAGCTGGGGGACATCATCTACCAAAAACAGTAACTATAGCTTTGGAATATCTGAATCCTCTGTATCTGTATTTAGATGAGTAGTTGGCAAACTATGGCCTGGCAGCCACCTGCTTTTACAAATTAAGTTTTATTAGAGCATGGTCATGCTCGTTTGTTTATATATTGCCTATGACTACTTTCGCTCTACAACAGCAGGGCTGAGTAGTTGCAATAGAAACCTTCTGGTCCACAGAAGCCTAAAATATTTACTATCTGTCCCTTTACAGAAGAAAGTCTGCCAACCCCTGCTTAAATAGCAGTGAAAGATGCAGGTTGTGATAATAAAATTTAATAACCATTAAGTAAAATAATACTTGTCTATTCTCTATAGTCAAAGGAACTATATCTAGCTCATCCAAAAAAAGGTTTGGATTATTAAAGTTTAAAAGTAGGAGAATCAGGCCGGGCGCGGTGGCTCAAGCCTGTAATCTCAGCACTTTGGGAGGCCGAGACGGGCGGATCACGAGTTCAGGAGATCGAGACCATCCTGGCTAACACGGTGAAACCCCGTCTCTACTAAAATACACACAAAAAAAATTAGCCGGGCGAGGTGGCGGGCGCCTGTACTCCCAGCTACTGGGGAGGCTGAGGCAGGAGAATGGCGTGAACCCGGGAGGTGGGGCTTGCAGTGAGCTGAGATCCGGCCACTGCACTCCAGCCTGGGCAACAGAGCTAGACTCCATCTCAAAAAAAAAAAAAAAAAAGTAGGAGAATCAGAACATACTTCTATTTTACTATAATACATGTTATTCATTGTTCTATCAAGAGACCATTATTATCAACTCTGATTCTCTCTCTCTCACTCTTTTTTTTAAGAGATGGGATCTCACTGTCTTGTCCAGTGATTATAGCTCATCCTCAAATTCCTGGGCTCAAGGGATCCTCCTGCTTCAGGCTCTAGGGTAGCTGGGACTACAGGTGTGTACTACCACACTGCTAATTTTTAAAATTTTTTTGTAGAGACAGGTTCTCACTTTATTGCCAGGGCTGGTCTTGAACCCCTGCATTTAAGTGATCTTCCTGCCTCAGCCTCCCAAAGTGCTGGGACTATAGGCGTAAGCCACTGTGTCTGGCCTCTCTCTCTTTTTTGAACTTTTCAATGTTTTGTGATTAACCATTTGTACAGTAAGTTTTTCTTTTTAATTTAAATTTTGTTTTCAACTCTGATTATCAAAGGATTTGAGAGTACAGTCTCTCTACAAGTCTCAAGTGTCAGGGGTCTACAGTGAACTTACTTTGGCACTGAGTCCTAACTTTAGAGTGAAAGACTACTTTACTCTTAAAAGGTTTTTCCAGGTGGTGATAAAAAAGTACAACAAAGTCTGCATAGCATAGTTGATGAACCCTACATATAAATGCTGGCCTAAAAAAACACTCAAGCTAGCAGATTAAGAAGCAATAAATAGGCCGGGCGTGGTGGCTCAAGCCTGTAATCCCAGCACTTTGAGAGGCCGAGACGGGCGGATCACGAGGTCAGGAGATCCAGACCATCCTGGCTAACACAGTGAAATCTCGTCTCTACTAAAAAATACAAAAAACTAGCCAGGCGAGGTGGCGGGCGCCTGTAGTCCCAGCTACTCGGGAGGCTGAGGCAGGAGAATGGCGTAAACCCGGGAGGCGGAGCTTGTAGTGAGCTGAGATCCGGCCACTGCACTCCAGCCTGGGCAACAGAGCGAGACTCCGTCTCAAAAAAAAAAAAAAAAAAAAAAGAAGCAATAAATATTTTGGATAGACTGTCTAATAAACCAACAGGTCTATTATTTGGAGGGGAATAAAGAGTTACTTTAAAAAAGTGTTTTAAGAAACACTTTAAATTCAACCAAACTTGATCAATACTGTAAAATCAATAAAAGTAACTAAGTTAAGTAAGAACTGGAGTTCAGTCTTCAGAGAGATTAAGTATCTCTGAGGAATTCTAACCTTTTCAGGTAGAGATTTTCAATCAGCAGAACAATGTGAAGGGCTGTTACTGGGATTCAGTCAGCGAGCAGTCCCGGAAAAATAAAGCTTCTAGGAGTGAAGCTTAGTCTGTGGCTTCACAGCCTCACTCCAATGAGTTCTTCAGAGTTAATGGTTAGATCTTTTTTTTCCTGGTATCTCATAATCTTTGTCAAACCAGCTATTAGGTGGCTGTGACCCATATCTGCTGTGATCATTGTAGCTACTGAGACTAAATTATTAACACAGTGTTTTTGTTTGTTTTTGATTTGTTTGTTTTTTTCAGTTATGAGATCCAGATAGCTTTTCCACCGTAAAGAATGTAGCACAGAACTCTTTAAGAGGAGTTATTCAGTACTCTTACTCACCTGCTATTCAATACTCCTAAGATTTCAAAGATGACGAGCTCAAACACGGTGCAAGAAAATGCAAATATCAGAGAAGATCACCTGTACAACATACTGACATTACCTGTTAAAAGCCAAATAGAGACTAGAAGTTATTTCCTTGTTTAAAAACTGAACTGATAACCTCCTTCTGGTTACAAGTCAGAAAACTTATTTTGAGGAAATTCTCAAGTCACTGGAAGTAGGTGGCACTTCTGAATCTTGAGTCACTATTACCAGCATCCTCTTGTGGATGAAGAATTTTGAGGACAAGAAGATGAAATGACAAGGTCATAGGTAGCACTTAGAATTCCTGATGCACACTGACAAAAAACTGACACATTTGTATATAATGGTTAATGTTTAAAGGGGTTCTTCAACACTCTGCAGATCCTGGATCAGTTCTGGAACCTCCCTTGGGAGGCCTTAAAGTATTGGGCAGAAGAAAATCTCCAGAATTCCAGGCTCTTTCAGACAATAAACTCCCTGGGAAAATTTAATGGAGAACATCCTAGAAATGACCCAAATGTAGACTGTAACCCCTGACCTTACTACTAATTGTAGGGACCAGCCCCACAGGGTCGGTGGGTATTTCACCCCGTGTGCGGAGATGAGAGACTGTAAAAATAAAGATGCAAGACAAAGAGATAAAAGAAAAGACAGCTGGGCCTGAGGGACCACTACCACCAAAACCCGGAGACCGGTAGTGGCCCTGAATGCCAGGCTGCGCTGATATGTATTGGATACAAGACAAAGGGGCAGGGTAAGGAGTGTGAACCATCTCCAATGATAGGTAAGGTCATGTGGGTCATGTGTCCACTGGACGGGGGACCCTTCTCTGCCTGGCAGCCGAGGCAGAGAGAAAGACAGGTGAGAGAGAGAGATCTTAGGCCATTATTTCTGCATATCAAAGACTTTTAATACTTTCACTAATTTGCTACTGCTATCTAGAAGGCAGAGCCAGGCGTACAGGATGGAACATGAAGGCGGACTAGGATCGTGACCACTGAAGCACAGCATCACAGGGAGATGATTAGGCCTCCGGATAACTGTGGGTGGGGCTGACTGATGTCAGGCCCTCCACAAGAGGTGGAGGAGTACAGTCTTCTCTAAACTACCCAGGGAAAGGGAGACTCCCCTTCCCGGTCTGCTAAGTAGTGGGTGTTTTTCCCTGACACTGATGCTATCGCTAGACCATGGTCTGCTTGGCAACGGGCATCCTCGGGTCACTTCTCATTATGTCCCCCCCAGCTCCTGTCTCTGTATGGCCTGGTTTTTCCTAGGTTATGATTGTAGAACGAGGATTATTATAATATTGGAATAAAGAGTAATTGCTACAAACTAATGATTAATGATATTCATATATAATCATATCTATGATCTATATCTAGTATAACTATTCTTATTTTATATATTTTATTATACTGGAACAGCTCGTGCCCTCGGTCCCTGCCTAGGCACCTGGGTAGCTTGCTGCCCACAACTAATTAGGAGAACTAATTAGGAAATGTCCAATCTAGGGTGGTGATCTTCTGAATCCAAAGCTTGAGATAAAAACAACACCAGCCTTGGGATTTTGGTTTTAATTTAAAACATAAGACTGGCAATTCAGGGTCAGATAGACAAACGAAAGGGAACATTTGTGAGACATTATGAATTAAATTCTCTCCTACAGAATAACTATTTGCTATTGGTGCATATCCTGATATGACTAAGGCATGACATTCCTTGCTCCTAACTTCTGGGCTATATTTGATTTGCCTTTTCCCCCCCCTTTTAAATCAATTAAGCCTAATTATATTCTCCAATCTAATAGTTGTATAGTACTTATTTGGTAAAAGCTTCCCATCTTGGAAATGAACATAATGTTTCTTTAATGGAGGCATTTTTCTTGTCCCATTTTAAAACAATCTAAATTCATATAGTGTAAATATGACAAAGTGATTTCTTCTCACCTCATAGTGCTTAAACAATTGGCGCATGATGAAAAGCCACCCAAATCCAAAAAACAGTATCTGGAGGAGAAGGAAAATAGAATGTCAATCTATATTTTCTTTTGAGAAACGTTTTATAGAAACTCTTTCATGATAAAAGGTCTGCTAACTA